AGTTGTGGAAACTCCTTCTTACACATGAGCTGTGGTGGGGATGACTGGGACCCTAAGTATCCTAGGCATGCTGCCCCTGTTAAGAGCTTCTGCCCTAAGTAGAGGTTGGCTGGGTGATCCTCTCTACCATGCCTACGGGACACAGTCCTGGGGTCAATGAGAAATGGCAGTATTCTATACCCAAGATGAAACCATAACCCAAGCATGGGAGCTGAGGAGAAGAAGCCCGTCTTCCTGGCTATATATGTTGGAGGGTTAAATGATTAACAAGATTTCCACTAGTTAAATGGTAATTCTGCTGGGGAGAGGTTTTTCCTACCTTCTTACTGTGTCCTCCTGGAAGTCCCACCCCTTGTCTTCCTTTTTTCTCATGGTAAAATATACATAAAATAATATTTACCACTTTAATAATTTTTAAGTGTATAGTTCAGTGGCATTAAGTACATTCACATGGTGCACCATCACCAACCATCTCCAGAACTTCTTCCCCACCTGAAACTCATACCTATTAAACACTAACTCCCAATTCCCACCATTTTACTTTCTATCTTTGAATTTGATTACTCTAGATACCTCGTGTAAGTACAATTGTACAATATTTGACTGGCTTACATCACTTGCAAGTCTTGTAATTTTTTCTTGAAGATTGAACAGTTTTGTTGGACACTGAACAGCTTTGATAATATATTGTAGCGACTCTGGACTTTTCACTACTACTGCTGCTGCTTTTTTCTTTGTTTGTTTAGTGACATGCCTGGACCAAATTTGAGTCTGTCTCTCCCTCAGTATGTGGCCACTGATGTCCCTGCTCAGATTTTAATTTTTAATTTTTCTTTGCATTTTTAAGCCTGGCTTCCTTGGAGTCTCTCTTGGATCAGCACAGCTTATTATTCAGCCAATGATTAGGCAAAGGTTGTGCAGAAACATCTTGAGCCAATGAAGCTTCCATTTTTGCCAAGGGGATCTATGTCAGGTTGGGGCATACATTAAAAATTCAGGCAGTTTGTGGGGCATGCCGAGTGGCTAAGTTGGTTAAGAACACCAGCTTGGAGCAACAGGTCGCCAGTTCGATTCCCACATGGGCCAGTGAGCTGCGCCTGAGCTGAGCTGCCAACAGGTGGCAGGGTGGCTCAGCTGGTGAGAGCACGTGCTCCTAACAACAATGTTGCCGGTTGACTCCTGCATGGGATGGTGGGCTATGCCCACCTGCACCTAAGATTGGACACGGCACCTTGAGCTCAGCAGCCGCGAACGGCCGATGAGCAGCCAGTTGACGACTGGACTTGGAGCTGAGCTATAAGATTGAAGGACAACAACTTGACTGTTCCCCTTCCCCAACAAAATCTTAAAAGAAAAAAATTCAGGCAGTTTGTAAGCTGGCTTTTAACTTTGACCTTGTACAGGTCTCATGTTCAGCCACATATGAGTATGTAATGGGGACTCTTTGCATTCTCTCCTGAGTGTGTATGCAGCCCTGCATATGTATACAGCCCTCCAGATTCCCAAGACTATACGGGAGTTTATCTCCCTTTTTGGCTGCCTATTGCCCAGCTCTCCCAATTAAATTTTTGGTGTGGTGTATTTCAGCCACAGGGCAACTGAAGTGTTTGCCTTCTCTGATTGTTTGCCATTGTTTTTTCTATCTCCTTGGGCTTGAGGCTTCTTTATTTATTTTCATTTTAAAAATCCCTTCCTTGTCTCAAGGTCAGTTAAATCATTGCTTAGTTTTTATCCTGCCTTTTATATTTTTTCTTTACATTTATCTTTATAATCAATCCATCTGGAATTTATGTGAGGAAAGGCTCTAACTTGATGTTTTCTCCCCAAATACAATTTTCTCAACAATTATTTAAAAATTCATTTATTTGTCATTGATTGTGAAGCTTCCTTTAGTATATTTTAAGTTATGTGTCTAGGGTCTTATTCAGTATTATCTGCTCTAAAACACTGACCTGTCAATTTCTGTGCCAATGTCACATGATTTTAGTATAAGTTTATAATACATTTTGGTATTTTTTGGTTTCAGCCAAGACTCCTCTTACTGTTCTTTTAAAAAAGGTTCCAAGCTATTCTTGTTCATTTGCTTTTACCAATGAACTTTAGAAATATTCTGTCAAGTGAACAAAAACTAGTTCTTATATGTCTTTACTCTTTATATATCAGGATGGCACGTGGTTAACTTAAATACCCTATTATCTGCTGCTTCTTAATAAAATTGTTTCTCAAAAGAGACTCAACGTCACCCATGGATCTAGAGGAGTGACCTTGTCCAAATTACATGTTCTTTTTCTGGAAAACGGTTGAGATTTGAATTAACCTTTGCTAGAAAAGAGACAGCCATGGTGCATGACTCTCCACATTGAACAGATCTGCGCACACGCCCCCCAGAAGCCTGACAGAGTTCCAAACTATCCTTCCCTTCTCATGGTGACTGTTATATGTGTAAAGATTCTGCCTTCCTCAAAATGTATCAACCTATCCTAGTAGACTCTCATTTCTCTAGGCCAACTGCCCAAGAGCTTCACGAACATAAGTTTTAGTCACAACTTCCCCAGCATTACTTTACTTTCTTTTACATGTAGTTAGTAGAAGCAATTTAGGAGTTTAGACTCCAGTACTCAATTAGGCCACAGTTCAGCATTTCCACCAGTGCTTACCTGAGTGCTGGGCAATGCAGTATTTAGGATAAGTTAATCTTCTTTTAAAGTTGAAGTTTAAATTTCTGACCAGATTTTATGTTAATCTTTAAAACTACATTATTGTACCATTCTGTCTGTTAAAAAATATAGGAGGCGGCCGAGTGGCACGTTGGTTAAGAGCTGGCTTGGGACGCCAGAGGGCCCCGGTTCAGATCCCACATATGAGGGCCAGTGACACTGCCCTCTACAGCTAAGATGCTGAACAACGGCTCAACCTGGAGCTGGGCTGCCGTGAGTCACCGGCGACGGTGTAGGCTGCAGCCCCTGCTGCAGTGGGTTGCCATGGGCTACCATGTGTAGCCAGCAGCCAGCGTGAGTGGCCAGCAGCCACAGTGAGCGGCCGTCCAGAAGCCGGCGACTGATCTGCATCACCCAGGAAGAGCGCAATGATGGTGCCAACTTGGGCCAGTGAAGCAACGTCCTCCACAACTAGACTGAAGAACAAAAAAACACAGCAATTTGGCTGTTCCCAATTCCCCAATTAAAAAAAATCTTTTAAAAAAAGAAATGTGGGGCCGGCCGAGTGGCGCAATGGTTTAAGAACTGGCTTGGGATGCCACAGGGCCCCAGTTCAGATCCCACCTGATATGGAAGGTGACATAAAACTATACGAAAATGTAGAAAAATATTTTTATGATCAAGGGGTAGAAAAGACTTTATCAAATAAGATCCCCAAAGCATACACTATAGAGATATAATTTGATGGGTTTGACAAAACCAAAATTAAATACTTCTTGGTTAGGGATGAAGTGTACTGATATCTGTAATATACTTGGAAACGCATCAAAAAGGATGGATAAATGGATGGCTAGAGATGGATAGTTATATAGGATAAAGTAAATATTATAAAGTATTAATTATAGAATCTAAGTGGTGGGCATATGGGTGTTTACCATACTATTTTTTTGGCTTTTCTGTATGTATGAAATAATAAAAGGCTGGTGAATATTTAACACTTTTGTTCAACAATGATTTTGTACATAAAGTTTTGAAAAACTGTGACTGGCTGGATAAGATATGTGATACACACACAGATATAGAAAAGATATTTGCTATATATGTATGTGTATAAACACACAACTGAAAAAAAAGAACCTTCAGTAATTAGCAAGAAAAACAAGTAACCTTAAAGAAAATGTGCAAGATAAATAGGCACCTCAGATAACGAGAAAACAAATGGCTAATATATATAAAATAGAAGGTCAACCTTGTCTGTAGTCGAAGAAAAGCAAATTAAGCCTTTGCTTATGCATTGTTCAGGGGACTATAAATTAGTACAGATATAATCTAGAGCAATTTGGCAATATTTGGTGAAAAGCTTATATGCATATTTTATAGGATTCAGGAATTCTACTCTGAGTATATACTTTAGATAAACTAACACAGGAACACAGAGACACAGATATCTATGAAGAAATTCCCTGCAGCATTGTTTGTAATATCCAAGAACTGGAAACAACTATCAATTGATAAATAAAATACAGTTGACCAGTGAACAACACAGGAGTTAGGTGACCACTTGCATAGTTGAAAATCCGTGTATAACTTTTAACTTCTCAAAAACTTAACTACTAATAGCCTACTGTTGACCTGAAGCTTTACCAATAACATAAACAGTTGATTAACACATATTTTGTATATGCGTTATATACTGTACTGTACAATAAACTAGAGGAAAAACATTATTAAGAAAATCATAAGAGAAAATACATTTATAGTATTTATTGAAAAAAAAATCAGCATATAAGTGGACCTGCACAGTTCAAACCTGTGTTGTTCAAGGGACAACTGTACTGATATTATTTGCTGGAACATAATCCAGCAGTCATGAGGAATGAACCATATATAAATATGGATAGATCTCAAAAATCACAGAGTGAAAAAAGTAAGAAACAGTATGACATGTACAACACAAAATACGTTTCATGTTAAAAAAGGAAAAAATATATACATACAAATGATACTATAGACTGTGCATGGATACACACGTCTAAATAAATGTATGGAAGATGACTTAGAAGGACACAGAGGAGAAGGGAACTGGATCAGGAACAAAGAGCAAAGGAGATAAAAACCAAATATAAAACCAAATATAAAAGACGAGTCATACATGCACTGATGATAACAGCGATCATAAATTAAGGAGACTATTACAGCAATCGATTTCAGTGATTCTGAATTGTAATCTAATGTAAAACAAAAGACTCCCCACCCCTAAATACTGTAAAAACACCTGATTAAAGTAAATGCCCAAAAAGTAAAAGAGAAATGAACTGGCCACCTCCCTTTCACACAGCTTACCGGAGTACACAGCACATGAGCAGCAGATGGGTGGGGACATTAGCTGGGTTGAGCATACTGGGTGTGTCTGACTTCATACAGGCCAGGAAGGCCCGCATCCTTCTGTTCTTGTCCTCAACTGCTTTGCCTAGCCAGAGCTTCTTGAGGTTTGGGCAAGTCCATTCTCGAAATGTCAGTGCAGACACCAGCTCAGGGGTTTGAGGTGACTTCCCTTTGTAGGCAGACCACTCTTTAAGGATCACTGAAGGAACTGGAAAACAGAAATTGAGGAAAAACAGGCTCTAGAGAATCTGAGCATTTCTGCAGCTGGACACAATGGACAGGATCCATCACATTTCAATATCTTTTTAACTTTTGTTGCTATAATTTTTATTGTTAGCAGTAGTAACAGAAGTAGTAAGCATTTACTATATGCTTGACATGTGTTAAGTACTTTATATATAAATGTAAATCCATTTACTCCCCAGAACAATTCTGAGAGAGAAGTATTATGACTATACTACCACAAAAAGTAGTGCTCATTTGGCAGATGAAGGAATCAAGGCTCAATGTCACACACACATTCTTAACGACTTTGAAACTTATTTCTTGAGTAGATGCACAAACCTAGGCAAGAAAAGAAGTCCAAGGAAAAATTATGTGACCACCTGGCTTCATAACAGACTATAGTACACCCCAAAAGACTTTAAAGAATTTCACGGGCCGGCCGAGTGGTGCGTTGCTTAAGAGTTGGCTTGCGACGCGAGCTCTGAGCAGCAGGGCCCCAGTTCGGATCCCACATGAGGGCCAGTGACGCTGCCCTCTACAGCTAAGATGGTGAACAACAGCTCGACCTGGAG